CAGTAGGTTAAGCACAAAGAGCTAGGGAGTTATGAATACAGCATCTGGCACTGAAAATACTTACCACCAATCACAATATTGTGAAATATAAGTTATCTTATCATGTCTCTGTTATTCAGATAAATGTTCACAATAATTTTAGTTTCACCCAGTCACTATTGGATTTCTCTATTTTATTTAGACCAAAAGAAACAAGACAATAATTCCAGCTTAAGAAACATTCCAGTGATGAACTCAAGGAATCCCTCACACTCCATCATCCTCCCCTGCCATGTTGGTTACCGTTGATACCATTTGCAATAGCTGTTTTTCTGGTTTACATTTCAATGCAGTTTTTCCTACCCTAACCCTAAACCTCTTTTTTTTTTTTTTTCTTTTTCAGTCTAATCTGAGTTAGGACTGCTGCTAAAATGAAGGTGTTTCCAATTTTCCAGGTTACATTAGAACTTTTATAACAATGAGTCTTATAAAGATAGCTGTATTTAAAAAATAAATTAAAATACTGTCTGATGTAGAAAGTTGTGTACGTAGAAGAATGTGAGTGCACTACCAAGAGCTGCTTTAACATCTTACAGCATTTAATAAGACAAGTTCAAAACAGCATGACTCCATCTCTACAGTAGCAGAATTCAAATGAATGAGCAGAGGAAGTAATAGTACCAAATACTGCATCATTTCAACTTGTTCTCTCATCAGCTTTGCCAACATGAATTATTTATGTTGGCTGAGCAAGTAGAATCAGTCTCATTCACGGCTAAGCACAGGTGACAAAATGTAACAGTCATAATGATGATGATCTCTCTATGCCCTCAGCTATTTTTCTACACTTTTCAATTTCAGACACATATTTTTGAGTTTGCTCCTGCTTAATTTCCATAGCATAAAACATTAGAAAAGGTGGCCTAATAGATTTTTTGGGTGCTGGAAATCCTGGGACAGTTGAATTCAGCCAGCTGAGGGCACGACAATTTTCACAGCCCTCAGCTCTCTCATAGCTAATAAACAGGCCTTTAATGACTGTAAAACTCGGTGTTATGTACCTTGGACGCTGCTCTAAGCTAGCTAGGGAACTTAATTCTAGGCCTGGAATTTCAGAATGACACGAAGTTGTCTGTTGGCTTGGAGCTCCGTCCGTTACCATTCACCTGCAAGTATGTGATTTACATCTGCTGCCCTGCTGCTTATGGCCACGCCATTGCATTTAAGACCTCAATGTCACAAAGAAATTCACGCACTGCTACATCTACTCTTGTAATTTTGTTTCTGCATCTCATTCCTTCTACTCACAGTCTCATCTTCCCAATCTGACTTGACAAATACAACTGCACATTTGAGCCACTCACACAAACACATACAGATATGACTATCTCACTTTTGAACCCACTTTTCTAGTTAAAACACTTCACAAATGAAATGACATTAGATGAACAAGATGTCATGTAGGTGAACGTGTATAGAGGAGAGACAAGACAGTGACTGACATCTCACAGTATTTCAGATAGTTTGTGCCTCCAGCAGGAGACAAATCACATATTAGAGGACATCAGAGAGGAAAGAAATATGAATGGGGGAATAAGTCTCTCAATGTGACCAGTTGTCACAAAATCATGACACCAGACCTTGTCTTCTAAGAAATGCACAGTACCATGGTTAATGTAGCATTCCCTTTCATATGATGATCGAACTTCTTCACAGCATGGTTCACAAAATTTCACAATCTAACACCAGAACTTAACCACATAACAAATTTCTGCCAAATCTATGCTGGTTAGGGTTGCCTACGTTCACATCAGGACATCTGGTGTTCCCATCTGGAAGACTTTGTTACACATTTGTGCCCAATTCAGAAAACCTCTGCAATGAGAATGGACTAAAATCAAGCATGAGTTTTTAAAACAATGTTAAGCATTCATCAGGGGTACTTGAAGGAGTATGCCATATACCACAGGGAAAGGAAGTAAAAGGATGAGGCCAAACTGAATATCTCCGGGGGGGAGGGAGGCAGAAGTCATAGAATGAAGCATTTTTTGAGGGTGATGGTCAATAGCTGGTCCAACATTCAGGGAAACCTGGGATACAGCTTGCGAGAACCTTAAAATGATAGCTGAACATTTTTTGTCTGAAAATATACTACCAAGCACTGCTACTGTGTGTATAGCCACTGCTATGTCTATATAAAAAGGGATATATTTGTCCTGGTAGAGCATTAAGGTCTGATTAAATCCTCTGGGGCTACCGCATTCCAAACAATTAATCAGATCCATAGTACCCAAATTGGTGAGGAAGGCTACAGGCAGTAAAAATGGGAGGTTTTTGGCCTGCAAGCAAGCAGGGGTCAACATGAACTCAGGAGACCTGTCAGCAGGCCACCCATTAACAAGGATTTCACCATTAATTATTTCCTCTCAATACAAGACTGATGCAAGCAATAAAGAGCAGCTAACAGGGTTTAATGAGTTTATTACATAAATGTAGATAAAGTATTTGTGCTGTATTTGCATGTATTTAGAATAATTTTAAAAGTTAAGACGAAAGCATCAGATTTAGAAAAGATAAGGGTAGACAGAAAAAACTAATTCAAACATACAAGGATGTGACAGAATTAGCAGAGATTTAAGACTCCAACATTCCATATTAACACGTCTTCATTGTATTAACAGTGCTAAAATGAATAGCTGTGCTATTTGCAGTGTTTAACTAAAAAGAATGATCATGTTAGCTCAGTCCCTGTGAATAATGTATGAGGCTGAATTCAACTTATTCACCTCATCTTGTATTCAGACTAAAAACCTACAAAATAAAGGGCTATATTTAGCATTAAGTAACAATTTCTTGTTTTAACTTCCATAGCATTGCTTCTGTGCAGTTAGAGATTGGTTGGAAAATTGCATATAGAGTGGTTTTCCATTTGTTAGAATTTTCAGCCGTGATCTCCTTGTCAGATAGAGGCCAGTCTGGGATTTTTTCTATTTTTCCCATTTAAATCTTTTAGACTCTCAATGCATTTTTAATAGGCCATAGAAGAATCAATTAAATCTTGTTATTTGGATGCATTACAGGGTTATGCTCTTGTGGGTATCTAGCCAGTGTTAATTAACCAAGAAAGAAAGCATTTTGCACTTTAAAATTGTGTAAAATGCTATGTTCACAAATTAAGGATTTCACACAGCTGAAAATGAAAAGACATTAATGATAGTAGCACACTGGTGAGTTATGACTTCCAGCTGAAGAAAATTATGTGGAAAAGAAGACTTCATTATCAGCTCTATTTAAATCAACCTATTTTCATCATTTTATTCTCTAAAAGAAAATTATACTTCATAATCACTTTGAACACCTTAACGAACCAGGACAGTAATGACCTTGAAGGAATAAAATCACTCCCTCTCCCGTAGCACGTAGATAGTAGGTTCCTGAGGAAAATACCGTGAGGCTCTGAGGAATCTTCCTAGTTCTGTTATTGTTTGCAAAATTAAATACTGCCTCTGTCCAGAACAGGCTTACAAAGCAACTATCCAAGAGGAAAGAATCAGAATCATTTGAGTTGGATGGCATCCTTAAAGGCCATCTAGTCCAACTCCCCTGCAATGAACACCTTGTAGGGACACGTATAGCTCAATCTGGTGCTCAGATCCTCATCCATCCTGACCTTGAATGTCTCCAGAGGCAGGGGCATTCACCACCATTCTGGCCAATCTATGCCAGTGCTTCATCATCCTAATTGTAAAAAAAGTATATCCAATCAAAATCTCCCCTCTTTCAGTCTGGAACAATTTCCCCTTGTCCTATGACAACAGACCCTGCTAAAGAGTGAATGTAGTCAGTAGTGGAATAGGAGACAATAAGATCACTTCATCCCTTCGCTCTTCATTATTTTCCCAGTCAGCATAAAAGGGAGACAACAACAGAGTTCTGCAGTCAGACAGCTTGGAGAAGATATGACTGACTGGAATGGCTGATAATCATCTGTGGCTGCAGCGGTAAAAGTGGACAGTGGTAAAACAACAGAAAGACATCCTCATAGCAACCAGGGACATACAGGGGACAGCCTGTGAGCAACAAGCAGGGAGAAAGAGCTGGAAGATGATGAGAACAGACTAAAGGAGGAAAATAAGTGGTGATGGAGACAGGTGTCAGCCCAGCAGATTCTCAGCAAGATATCCCACCCTCTCTGCTTTCCTACTGCTAGGGAACAGCAACTCCTGACTCAGTTATCTCTCCTGGAGAGGAATGGGAGGCTTGCACGGTTTTCCAACTTTCTGTTTGCTCATGTAACACTTTATGCAATTAATTACTTGCAGATTACTTTAGACAGGCTCTGTTTTATCACAAATCAGTTCATTCAAGGCAATGCTTACAGCAGCAAATAGCTGTTAGCAGTGGAGTTTAGTTCAGAAAACACTCAACAAATCTTGTTTTGCCTTTAAACTTGTGCTTAAATTCAGTCCTCAGTTACCCTTGTTTCTCAGCATAGCCTTTGGCAAGCTGAGGAAAGATCCATTTGGGCTGAGAAGTATCATGAAAAGGCTCCCCTCTGTGCTGATATGACAGGTTCCTCGTTGTCCCGCAATTACCAAAGAACAACAGTAGCTTCCTGGAACAACTGATGTTCATTAAGGGATCCTATCACTCACCAAGCACAAGCAGTTGGCTAAGGCAAGCCCTGTCTGAGGGAACAAATACATCCTCTGTATTCCTAAGGAGTCAAGGCACATGTTGTCTCAGTAAGGAGCTGGATAAATGTTGTAAAATATTGTTTCGGTAGAGCAGATGTTCAGACTACACTGACACCTAGAAACAAACTCAGCCCCCCTGAGGCAAGAATCTTTATTTACAGCGGAATTTAATTATTTCTAAATGTGCTACCTGGGGCAAAGGACAATATTTCTTTACCTTTGTTAAAAGCACTAAACCAAAATCACGTATAGGCCCATACTTCCCTCGTATCTGAGCTTCATTTTCAAAAAAACAGAAAATGTCAGCAAGCAGCTAGCTTCATTTCATGAATTATAAGCTGACTTAACACAAAAATACAAATTGCAAGCATTTTAAAGTGCTTTTCTAAAGCTATCACTCACATCTGGACCACGGTTGATAGTATTTTGTTTTGATTAGCATATAGACTTTCATCTGAAATGAGGTTCTAAAATAGGCCAAGATTAGGCAATTAACTAAATGGCAGGTGCCTTCTGCTCTTTATTGGGGAACAACACAAAACAGCCCCACGATATCTCCGAGGACTTTCCCAGATGATAATTTCCTAATAATAGTTACAGTACTGTTATGATCCTCATTTCAGCCTGCTATTTTTTAAGCACTATTCATTGGAAAAAAGAGCCCTTGAATCGCTTTGAAATATGACTGGCTTGAAACTGCTGGGGTGAAGAAGGTGGTAAGCTAACATCCGAAAGTTTTTATCAACTCTTTGAGCACTGAGCCTACATGCTGCTGTTGAGTTGGATTTTTGTGGCTTTCTTTTCCTAGCACAGAGACAACCTATGGATTGTGAAGACAAAAACAGCTATTTCACAGAGAGTAAGAGTGACAGAATAATTCTTAGTGAGGTCAACTTACTCAAAAAAGTAGTAGACAATTTCTGTGAATTCATGATCCTAAAAATAATGAGGTGATATTCTATAGGACAGCATAACCTAAACCCCAGTCTGGAGAGCCAATATGGCACAGATCCACCATTGCAACCCCTTCACTTTTTTTTTTTTTAACAAAGTTATTAAAGCCTAGTGAAAAATAAAGGATATGAGAAAATATTTAGAGGCATCAGTTCCCCATTAAAAGATGAAGGCCAGATTAAGTCACCTCATACATTGAGCATTAACTTATTTTGCTGGAAACTCTGCCCTTGCTTCCTGTACTCTGTACACTGCTCTGTTCATCCTAACAGGGAACGACCCACTGCTACCACCACAGCTAAGATCTTCTGCATTTTTACTTTTATTTATGTGTTAAAAAAAAAGAAAAAGCAAATTCACATCTTCCTAGTAAGTGCACTATTTGTACCTCTTTAATCTTTCAGAGAAATTCCTACAAGAGTTCAAACACAAGGCAGAAACTGCCTTCATAGAAGATCTCGCCAGAAGCTGTATTAATATGCATTTTGGCACATTAGTTTCTACATTAAGAGCATTTATGCCATTCAAACAATCTCACTAGCATCAAGCCTTTGGCTGTCAAAGAAAAAGATCCTGCAGAAGGCAGATAAGCCCCACCAAGGCCCTTATTTGTAAACACAGTGCAGCTGCCAAGTGCCTCTGAATACTCTTAGGTTACCTGGTCACGTAGCTGGGAGCAGAATGTAGAACAGACTTTGTCAGCTTGCAAACAGAATGCACGTCTCCCAGTCTGCAACAAATCCTGCAAATATTATAAATGGATAAGGTGCTATTCAAGCCCTGCAGATGTCACATAACGCGTTTGCTGTTTCACAGCCATAAAATCAAAACGTTGAGGGCAGCGTTCTCCTTCCTCCCTTCCTCACCCACTTTTATCTTTCATTTTGGACTATATACATTATTAATCAAAATTTTTTTTATATATAAATTGAATAAATGTGAGCATTTTCAGCCTGGGATACTGGCAAAACTCATTCTTGCCATTCACAATTCACTCACAAGTACAGAATACAGGCAGTAGAGGAAGAAGCATTTCCTGTCAGAAAGGCAACATATGTTGGTGACACAAATGTATGTATTTTTCTCTTTAAAAGTGTGTTTACTGGGATAAGGTACGTGCTGATGGTCAGGACGTGAGAGTGAAAGGAGTGACAGAGCTCATGATAACTGCAGGAGGGAAGAACGGCACCTCAGCTTTTCTACTCACTGCTCTACCTCTGACTAACCTGATAGCTTTTAGTATCACTTCCTCTATATTCCAGCTTCTTTATCAGAAATTTATCAGAAAAGGAGTACAAATTCTGCTCTGTTCAATGCATTTGCTGAAAGCATCTCATTTTCAGTAACTTCTTTCTCGTAAGCATGACAGTAAATTTCACATCTTCAGCAAGTGTGATCATGCTTTCACACTACGCCTTCGCAAACTGCCCTCAGTGTGAGCCATTCTGCTCCAGTTCTCTCAATCTACCTCTCTAGGCACATTTTACTTTCTACAACAGGGCACCACATCATCCTGAAATCTGTGCAAAGTGTTTGTGAGAGGTGTGGGCCCAGTGAAGAACCATATGGCCTAATGCCACAATCCTTCAGGATGGCTTTAAGCTCTGGTTCAGAAAAGGTAAATGGTTAAATAAATGTAGGCATTATTTTTGATGTAATTTCACGTCCCTTCAAATTACATGAAATTGTATGAACACTGTGTAGCAAGGAAGAATCATAACTTATCTGTTGTGGGTTCACCGTAGCCAATACCCACCCAGAGTCTCACTCCTCTCCCTTTCCTGCAGAGTAGGAATGACACAAGCACCACAACAATCGTGACTGTGATGGTTTAATTGGGAAAGTAAAAGCAGCGTAAGCCACAAATAATAAGGAATGAATTCACTATTTTCCATTGTCCCACAGATGTCCAACTATTCCTAGAAAGTAGAGACTCAAGCACAAGTAGTGCTTCCCCTGCTCCATGCCCCCTCAAATGTCCATAAGAACAGCTGATGGCTCAGCTGAGGTCTGAAGTCCCTCAGGAAAGGAAAAGTGTTGGATTGTTGGATGTCAAGACTTCAGCTGGGTTCCTGCCTCAACCATAAAGTCCACCAACATGGAGATTCTCCTTCCCCTGCTTTTTTGACAGTGCTGAATAGAGACTTGATAGGCACAGGTCAAGTCCCAAAAACAGTGCTAGGGGCTGCTGGGTCTCACTGGGGTTGGCAAGACATCTTGCATCCAGGGGCACACCAATTCAATGAGATGACACACCATAAGGTTTTACCTCCAACCCCAATGGTCAAAACTTTGTTTCTCATCCCATCTCCAAAAGGCCTGTATGCTGGAGGTGGACAAGTGGTTGGAAGGGGACATTGTCTGAATAGAGAACCCGGATTCACCAAAGGGATGCTGTGTGGTATCTGCTCAGCAGGGAAAGCGCAGGGAAAAAGGGGGGGGAGGGGGGGGGGGGAGAAAAAAAAAAAAAAAAAAAGGGAGATATTCATGGTTACGGCATGGAAAGAGTGAGAGAAGGTAGCTGGCATAACAGAGTTGAATCAGCAAGTTAAATTAGCAACTAAAGCATGCATTTCTCAGTTTGGGCCATAGGATTTTATTACATACCTTTTGTGTTCTTGGCAGCTTTTAGGTCAATGAAAAGTCCCTTTGATAAATTTCATTAAAGCATCACCACAGGAATATGAAAGGTTATGTTCTGCCATCAAAATGACAGATGTCTCTTCTCCCTCCTTAACCTTTGAATCAATCTGTGCAGCACAAAATAAGCATGTCAGCTTTGTGCCTGTAAGCACTTCTCATCTTGCTGCTGTTTTGTAGCTAGTGAAAGTTGTAGTAGCTACCACATCTAATTTGGAAACCAACTCCAAAAGCTGGTCTGTATCTTCCCTGCAATAAAATGTTTCTAACAGATTTAACTCATTAAAATGTGTTTCTTGAAAGAAAGATATTTATGTTTCCTTCAATGAACTCATTTTCTGGTTCTTAACAGTCTTCTTGGGTGATTGTGTAAAAAGGAGCAAGAAAATCAAAAGCTTTCTTTTGTATTTTTGAATGTTCTTAATTTTGATTTTATACAATACATAAATAGAAAATCAGTGGAATTGGATGCTTTTTTTATAGGACAGATTAGAACAACTAAAGTAGCATGCAGGTCACCATGAAAAGATTTTACCACTTCTGATAGCATGCCCAAGCACCTTTGCAATACTTACTGAATTACCCTTTTTTTTTTTTTTCCCCTCCCACTTTTTCATTTAACTAAAATCTTTTGAGACATCGTTGCAGGGCACAGGGGACTCTTAGTTTACTTTCTGCAGGAGACTAGGCCAAAGAGGCGTTCATAGGCCACCAGCATCTGTGAGTGAAAGCCAAGAGCTTGGGATTCTCTGCTCAGACACAAGCAAGCAAAGTAGAACTATTGATGGACTACACAGAAAACAAGATTGGGAAGCTCTTCTTTATCACTCTAGCTTAGTGACTTGGCTCATGCCCCCATGGAGTGTCTGCTGCTGGTTCTGGCTCCTCCTTACTGCCCTGCTGTCACTGTCAGCACACTGGCTGCTGATTTGGCTGGTGTTGCAGCCTCCTTCCTTTTGCAGTTACAGCATCTCTGGTGCTCAGGAAGAGGTCACATGACTATCACCAACCTTGCAAACATATGGGGCCAGGTTCCCTATTACCTTTGCCCAGTATCTCACAGAGTAGAAATCATTAAAATCACCAAAGTAGAACTGATGTAAAACCTGAAAATATTGTTGTGAACTACATACTTGAATTAAAAAGTGATCTTTCAGTTACACAGTAGAACATGCATTTCAGAAATGAAAGAAGGCTTATCACTAAAAATCTCCTCATTAAAATACCATCTAAACATACATAATCACAATAGCTCATGAAAATCAAAGCAATCCAACAAAGGAGTTTTTTGGGATATTCAAACACAAAATAATTAAGTTGCTCTGAAATAATTCAGATTGTATCACGTTCTGTAATCACCAGCTGGAAAGAACAAACCACAGCCACCAAGTTATGGTCTGGAGGAGTTGGCTGGTCTTGTGGAGGGGAACTAATAATAGAATGGTCTGGGTTGAAAAGGACCACAATGATCATCTAGTTTCAACCCCCTGCTATGTGCAGGGTCACCAACCACCAGACCAGGCTGCCCAGAGCCACATCCAGCCTGGCCTTGAATGCCTCCAGGGATGGGGCATCCACAACCTCCTTGGGCAACCTGTTCCAGTGCTTCAACACCCTCTGCGTGAAAAACTTCCTCCTAATACCTAAGCTAAACCTCCCCTTAGTTTAAAACTATTCCCCCTTGCCCTATCACTATCCACCTTCGTAAACAGTCGTATCCCCCTGTGTTTATACACTCCTTTCAAGTACTGGAAGACCACAATGAGGTCTCCCCGGAGCCTTCTCTTCTCCAAGGTAAACAAGCCCAGTTCCATCAACCTTTCCTCATAGGAGAGGTGCTTCAGCCCTCTGATCATCTTAGTGGCCCTCCTCTTGACTCATTCCAAGAGCTCCCTGTCTTTCTTATACTGGAGGTCCCAGGCATGGACACAGTACACCAGATGGGCCCTCACATGAGATGAGAAGAGGTGCACAATCACCTCCCACCAGTCCAGGATATAGATGGCTTTCCAGGCTGCAAGTGCACGCTGCTGGCTCACATCCAGCTTACCATCCACCAGGACCCCCGAGTCCTTCCCGCAGGGCTACCCTCAAGGGGCTCTTCTCCCATTTTGCATAAATACCTGGGACTGCCCCAGCCTAAGTGCAGCATGTGTGCATGCACTAATGTGGGTGACACAAAGTTCTCTTCCCACTCTGCACAAGTATGCCACAACACGTGCAACACAGATCTCTTAGCATTTCATCCTCTCTCAGCCTCTAGCTTTTTATCTGCTAATTTAGCCCTTTAAAATGTCACCTGTTCATTCACACGCAAACAGCACGTGGTCTATATTAATGATATATTAATTAAATATATTGAGCATAAATACATATAGGGAGCAATAAGTATCACAGAAACGTTTTCCACTTTTCTTTGGTAGGATTCAGTTTGACAGAGAGCTGGTGCTGGAAATGAGTGAAATATAATTTCCTTGTTACATAGGGTGAGAGGAAGGGTGATAGCTGCAAATCTAGAACTTGCTTTTCACTGAAAGCTCTTGTAAAGCATATTAAGATTTTCAATTTGCTGAAATATCAGCATTTTCTTAAAAGCATCTGTCATTTCAAAAGAGACCGGGGGACTTCTTTGGTAGAATTGCCAAGTAAATCATTGTAACGCATAGCTCTGTGTGTCATCTCAATGGTCTCACTGGGATTTCCCCTCCAATTACACCTTAGTTTCCTGCAGGGAAGAAAGACTTCCTGAGCTGTAGCCATAGAATTTTCATAGTTTTGTCATAATTGATTGGTGTTCACACACCATTTAATCACAAAAAAAAAAAAAAAAAAGATACAGAAGTGTTTCTATTATAATTAATATTTTCAAATAGAAAAAAGTCAGTGCTTAACCTAGAGAAAAGCGTGCTTAAACAGTAACAAAATTCTAGATAAAGCCTTCACATTGCTGTGTGATTTTTATTGAAAGTGTGTGGTTGAACAGAGTTGCAATCACTTAAAATTAAAAAAAAGGAAAAGGTTCCTTATGACATAAATTAACTAATCTTTGCATGCAAAACTCACTTTGTTCTTGGATTTAAATAGGAAGACCTATTAACCCGCTTCTCAGCAGTACAGAAAATTAATCCACCCAGTTTAAATAAGGCAATAGTAAATGAAAGGCTTTCCTGTAGATTCATCACCCTCCCACATCCCTTCAGCTGACAGACAGATACTTACATATAAATAGCAAAATGTGTAGGATACTAATGCTGCCTGAGACCAGAATGCATTTAGAAACCTATTAACTACCAATCTATTTGTCTGTATTTAGTGAAAGCTGTTTAATTTTTTCCTTAAGTTTCAAATGAAAAAGTGACAGCATGAGCTTCGAGACAGCGTAGATTCGTTTTGCACCAAATAAAAGTGCAGGCAGAAAGACAAGGAAGAAAAAGAAACAGGAAAAAGGAGAGGAAAAGGGAAATACTTGAAAAGGAACATGCAGCCCACAGTAGCAGTAGAATGCTTTTGATAATGACCCACAACACTACAACAACATTTAATCATAGAATCATAAAGGTTGGAAAAGATCTCTTAAGTCATCTAGTCAACTGATCACCCCCTTGCCCACCAACCACATCCCTCAGTGCCGCATCGACAACAACAACAAATTGTGAAAGAGCATTTATTGTTACCCAGTCTTCAACCATTATCTAGCTATCTAGTTCTCAAAAGACTTCTCATCTGGCCATGCTAAATAAATTCAGTCCTTCCTGCTGAGTTTTATTAATTTTCAGTGAAACAGAAATAATGATACTTGCCTGCTTTTGTAATGCAATTTCAGATCTGTAAATGGAAGTTTAACATCACAGGCTAGATAAAAGTTAAATATTCTGGCAACAAAAATCAATTAAGTATTAAAACAAAAGCAAGCCACATTACAAAATACAACTAAAGCATTTGCCATAATTAATTTACATGTATATTTAGACTCACTTTATAGACATTTTAGCAAATAGAGATTTTTCTACACACAGCGCTCACATAATTCACACAAACAATATTGGTGATCAATAGTTTTAAACTAAAAGAAGGGAAAATTAGGTTAGCTATCAGGTGGAAATTCTTTTCTCAGAGGGTGGTGAGGCACTGGCGCAGCCGCCCAGAGAAGCTGTGGTGCCCCATCTCTGGAGGTGCTCAAGGCCAGGTTGGATGGGGCCCTGGGCAGCCTGAGCTGGTGGGTAGAGGTATGAGAGCAGTCTTCAAGGCACAGGTGGCAAAGCTGGTGCCTACCAAGGGTATGGACGCAGAGCTGCAGACATTTGAGGTGGAAGCTGGAATGTCTGGCCACATCCTGAAGAAATACTTCTCTGCTGTAGCACAGCTCTGCAGCCACCTCGTGCTGCTGATAACAGCCCCTGTCTACTCAAAGCTCAGAAAGGTGCCCAAGTCAACTTGCTGTACCACAAACAACATCTCAGCTGAAATTCTCACCCTTCTGGGAGAAATGGCTCTCTTCTCTTCAAAAGTGAACTTGTACACTGAATACACACTAAGGCCACAGAGTACCTGCATACCAATATCTGGAGACTCCAAAATTACATGCAACAACTCTGAATAGATGACATGCCCTTAATGAATTAAAAGAATGATAGAATATCTAATGAGGGTTTCCATGGGCACCGATATCCATCTGAAATTCTTTGCAAGAGTTGAGTCACAGGAAAAAAAGTGCTTTAAATAGTTATAAGAGTTACAGGAAAAAATAAAGACTAGATTGACACACTGGTATTTGTCAGTTGTCTCAAACAACTAGAACTCAGCCTTTGACTACCTGACCACACTGTATTCTTTTGTATTTCCTTCTCTGATTCCTACTCCCACCATTTTCTTTGTTTTCAATAGCTTCTGAAGTTCAGTGCCTGAGACACTACTTTCATAATCTTTCCTGAAAAACTCACTTTGACTTCAGGATCTTTAACTATAAGTCTTTATTGTCAATAATATTAAAAAAAAATAAAATAAAATCAGTGACTTGAAGCTTTACTTCAAAGACCATTCTGTCACACATCAAGTAATCAGCTTTGATTTCCCACATATTTTATACAGAGATTCTTTAACGTCTAACAAAGCGAAAGATTATAAGACTTTTACTCTGCACTAGTAATAACCCAGCAGCTCGCTGCCCATCTTCAACAAATCTGTTTGATACACCTATACTGTTTTGTCAAATCTGATTGAAATTGGCTAACAGGTTAAAAATAAATATGGTGTAACAATTACACCTTACAGACTCCTTTAGCAGGACGTTTTGTATTTGCTCTTGATTTCCAATGACAATTAAATCTTAGACGCACAGATCAATTCTTATTTTCTCTCCCAAGCATACATGAAATTTTCACACTACATACATTGTGATTTTTTGAAAGAACTCTCCTATAAATCCACATCAATACAGTAGCTCAATGAAAGTAGACAGATGATTCCCTCTTCAGGCAAAACAAATGCCTGAAGGTTCAGTCTTCCATAAATGCACACATCAAATCAATCTGGGAAAGTGGATTGTAGTAGATAAAACTGCACCATTACAAACTAATTTAGGAACTATGCAATTTCTAGCAAATTATGTTCAGCACTGCAAATTCAATATTTTGTGTGTGATACAATACTTCAAATAGAACATGTGCATTGATTAGAAGATACCTGAGGCTCATTTTTCCTGGCAGATTTGCTGAGTCCTTACCAACTTCATGAAGAGGAACAGAAGTGAACAAAATAACACGATAACATGATCCAATTGAAAATCTAAATGTTGCTTCTGTTTCCTCTATGGAACTTGCTGCGTATTCATCAATACAAATCATATGCCATGGAATTATCTGGCAGCGTTTGTCTTTTTCCACATATATATTTAAAAATTAGGAGCAAGTATCCAGTCAAGAATATACCATAAATAAATTCGAATTCTTACAACGTAAACAGGGTCTTTTTTTTTTGTGAGAAGCCAAGAGTCTAATTTGTTAAGCTTGCTTGCTCTTGTCATATTAGTGTTAAATCCCAGCTTGATGCTCCTGGAAAGTGTCAAGGAGAAAGCAGTTGAGAGCATGACTTACAGCATTAATGCTTTTCCCTCAAAAGAAAAAAAAAAAAACACAAAAAAAACCAAAGTCCTGCATGCATTTCATTACCATGCTTCAGACAAAGAGTGACTGATCATTTTGCTGATCAGAATCACTGGATTTTATTGTTGGTTATCAAGTGTCACATGGTCTTCTTGTACAATAAGGTGCGGAAAATTACAACACCAGCTCTGTAAATGAGACTGAGGAAGGACAGTACAGATAAAAAGAAATTTTTTAACATAGCATTTTATTTCCATCTGCACTGCCTTCTTAACAATGTATTGGAGAAGCGTATTTGGAGAAATAAGTAGTTGATGGAAATGAAAATCATCATTGGGTGGCAAGCCAAAGCAAATCATGTATACAGCCATCCTTGAATGGAAGTTTTAAAGATACATTATTAATTGCTACATAGCAACTTGCTATGAAATAAGCTATCTTTGTCTAATGCCATGTTTACAGATCTGTGCATCACCCATGGAACTTGCTGTGGTAGTGATTCCTGGCAGAGCCCTGCAGCTCAGCACGACTCAGCTAAAGCTATCCAACATTAAGTATTTTTTGGGAGTCCCCAGCTGTAGCCACTGAATTATGCTATCTCTGTTCTTACATCATCTTATTTACCCCAGGACCACTCTAACTTAGTGTTGCATCCCCCCTTCCATTCAGCACTTGCTGACTCTGGGAGCCACTGCAATGCAGCTGTTTCAGAAAAAAGAACAGCATCTTCTCCTCAGTATGTGGCATTTCTCACATGGTCAGAAAGAGAAGACCACCAGACTGCACTGAGACTGCAGGGGCACTACTCGTAATGTAACAAGCACAGCAAAAATACTACCAAGGCACAGAGCTGACACATATGCTATTGCTAAGAGCACCTTTGGTCTGAACTTGCCTCTAGCACTCAGTGTGTAGAAATACAGCATAATGCCATGTTCCCTAAATACGCTGTAATGCAAGGCTTGTTCTAAGTGGGAGAAACAAAATAAACATATTTGAGACAACAAGAGCAGAAGGACAAAGTACCATCTCAGGGATCTTTAAAATCTCTTACATTTATTTTAACAGTCCCACCAGATAACTCTGAAAAACAACCACTATGAACACAGAATAAGCACTTGCGTATAGGGATTGGGGAAACTTTATGGGAGAGAAACAGCTTGCTCTCTCAAGCTTTTCTACATAAAATGGCTGCAGAGTCCCTCAATGGCTCTTGAAAACACTTTGATCAGAAAAACACTTGGGATGACTGATCAGCACAAAAGGAAAGAAATGAAGCTTTATTCCCAGCCTGATGTCTGTAAAACTTTCAAATGGGAGCAGCATAGGAATCGCTCTCCTCCTTGGGAGGTATACTGAATTCCTTAGATTACACAGGAAGCACTCAGTTAAGGAACCAAATGCACACATCATCTTGCAGTCCTCTGCTTATAATGGTGCCCTCTCTTGTGGTTTCTTGCCCACAGCTTCCCAAATAAGACAAATTCACCTGTAAGTCACTTCTTGCAAGGACTCAATTCTCAGCTGCCTTAGCACATGACAAAGCTGCTGTCACTCATTTTCCAGTGAAGTACTGGATATCCTTTGCTATTGCTTTCATAAGACAGGCTCCCTACTTAGTGCAAAAATCAAAAACTTGTCTAAGCCAAGAGAAGGGCTGGAAAAAATCCAACAGGGCTGGAAACATTCATTTCTAAGTACAGAAAACTTTGATTATTTTATGAAATCAAAACAGGATTAGAGTTGTGGACACGGCACTTAAGAACATGATTTTGCTACGGACTTCTAAAGTTACGCAGTTGGTTGGACATGAGGAACTTAAAGGTCTTTTCAACTGTAGGGATAGGAAGTAGTTGATATAGTTGCCTTTAACCACTTTCAGATCACCTAAGAAAGGCAGTAGTTACAATTCAGTAATAAAGAAGCAATAGCTTACCCCCTTCCAAAGATGAGGGCTTGCTGAAAACTCCCCTAGGAGACAGTTTCTAAGTAGAACTGGTTCCTCTTTGGCTGCCAGCTCTTTAAAGAAGTTAGAGAGAGATGGACCCAGGGCCCACCCCTTCTGGCCACAGAGGTGAATTCCTAGCACCTGTGCTCCCAGGGCTGGTTATGCCCCTTCATCAGGTGCTCAATCACTGGTTCAGGCCATAACCTAATGGTTCCCATACACCACCCTATATGAGTCTATCACTGTATGATTTTTCATTTAATAACAAAACACTTCACAGACAGGGAAGTGGAGGAATAGGGCAAACTTGTCTTCTCCCTCTGAATAGCACAAATCATCACTGAAGGGTCAGGAACTTCCCCTCTATCAAAATGCAACACCTGCTCTAGTTCTATCTCTGATGCTGCTTAAATTATGTGTCTGTGCTGCAGGGCAGTCAATAGAGCCAATGCACTGGGGAGAAGATTAGAGATTTCTGGGGTAGCACGGTTCTCATTTTAACATCAGATGCCTTGCACACTACCAAGAGAAAAGCCGGGTCATTGAGCCGTTTTACCTTGGTCATTTGTCTGTTGTTTTAACTGAGTCTTTCCGTGACAAGATTGTAAGAAATATACTCTATAAACTCAGTTTGACCTTAGATCTTGCAATTCTCAAGGTACAATAGGTGTGCAAAGGTTAGAAAGACAGACCAAAATAATTCTTCTTGGTTTTGACTTTTCAAGTGAGATGGCAAATAAAGCGTTTTCAAAAGTGCTGCCCAGAATCAGGGTTGCAAGCTCTTGAGAGACATTCATAGAGTAAATGTTATTTAGTTATTCTTTTTAGTTTGATTCCTTTTCTCCCTCTATTTTATCAGTTTCTCACACTCATTATTTAAGGTGGTACAAAAGAATTCACTAGGAATACATACAAATCAGTATGAATTTTAACCTTTGACCAGCCCATTGTCTAGATTTAGTGTTAGGTAAGTGTTGTGCAAGACAGAATACAAAGAAACTCAGATGTGATGGGGCTGTGAATGGGCTACTAAGAGAGGGAGGAGCCTGCTGAAAGCTTTCAATTTTGGTCAGTTTTTGGTGAGGGCCAGAGATGGGGCTGTATGTTGGACGTGGCCACTCTCAAGATACAGAGTTAGGGTTAAGATTTGGTAAGACAGAAAGGGAAGAGTCCTAGTAGTTATGGGGGCAATGAATGAGCTGCTAAGGAATGGTGAAGTCCATAGCTCCATTTTTATTCCTAACTGCGCAATTACAAGTTTGGAAGCACTCTGTATTCTGACTTTGATGTAAATATGAAAATTCTTAAAGAGAACCACTGCAGGCATTTGCATCTTCCCTGCCTCTGTGCTGTCTGACTAATGGCACCGCATTAGAAATTAGAAATTACTCCCCTTCAAATAGTGTGTGAGTCCCTGTGCACTTTCCTGTACAAATGTTTAGGCTCACAGGATACTCCACTGTTTCTGTGGAGTTAGGCAACTCTAGCATTAAATTGCTTCTATAGAATAATTATTTACAATGGATCAGATTGGGAAAGGAGAGCTATTCTCAGGGGTACAAATTAAGTATGATCACGTATTAATCTCTGCTTACTACATATACGTCTCAAAAAAGCCATTGTGAGAACTGGGCTATGAAGTGCAACTCTATTTTGCTTAAGTTTTCAAGTTTGGAAAGTATTTGTGTCTATGTGAGTCTCCAGGAAGTAAATTAAGAATGAAAACTCAAAAATGTGCTGAAATTTTAGGCCTCGAGGCAACCTACCCATTATAACATCCAGTAGTCCTTAGTGGGCTGCCTGAAGATCAGGTTGTCTTCAGAGAAAATCCACCTGTGCTCTTTCCAACACTTTGACAAAAGGACTGTATTTCCATGGATTAAACTGCTTCCTATGAGTTGGCATTTTCTGTGTGGAGAACTTTTCAGTATGAGCGTCGTGTTATTCAGCCACTGGGAGGTCCTGCCTTCAGAGAAATGGGTTAGTTCAGCAGGCAGACAAGTCCATAGAAAGGATCACAGCCACTGGGGGGGAAACTCCAGTTCTTCTAGTGCTTTCCCATCACGGCAAGAAGGCATGAAGACAGAGCTGAAGGAGTCACTAGTTAGGGCTGGCCATTTTGGGGCATCACAACCTTTAAGGGATAAGAGATGAACCACGAGGAAACATCTTTCTCTATTTGGGGGGATATAGTTGACTTCAGTACCTATATTGCATAATTATTAGCATAGATATTAGATATATTAGATATATTAGATATATTAGATATATTAGATATAGAATAGCCCACAAAAATTGGTGAGAGGCCAGAATAAGATTTCCCTTTCTTTATGGTTTGTTTATTTTTCCAAAGTATTTCCTAATTAATGTGTCAACAAATTAGGAATTGCCTCCAGCACTATACACAGAAAAAGCACACAGTCACGTGATGAAATCCTACCCTTCAGTACCAGGGTAGATAAGATATGAGCCCTTTTGTTGCAGTATTTGCTTGCATTAGCACAGCAAGCCATGCTGTCTGGGCTGGGATGTGGAGATGGGGTCGATGAGGGCACAACCTCCCACTGCAAATTCTCACAGCTCTGACAAATAACTAACTCATCAGGAAATGCGCTTCCTCATGCAAACTCACTGTCTCTGTGCTGTAGGAAAAATTTTAATCAGGAACGAAGTTACTTGTATTAAGCTAATCCCTGCTTTCAGCTACCCCATTTTCCTCCTCTCTGAATCTCACTTTGCTGATTTTGCTTCATTTCAGCTTCTGAGCCTTGCATCACGGGGACAGGCATTGCTGCAGCACTGCCAGTAGAACTTTCCTCATAAAAATCTTACTTTGGAAGCATCTAATCTCAAGAGAACATGGTTTAATTTATACACCAATTAACAGTGTAAATTAATGCTTTACTGTTCATCCTATCTCCAAAGATTTTAAGTGCCAGCGGAGGTTTTCATTTTGAACACAGATGAAAGACTTCAGAGCAGAGCGGATGAGTCAACCTCAAAAAAAAGAAAAAAAGGCATTTGAAATGTCTTGAGTGAAACTTGCTGTTGTGGGTTAAGATTCTTGCATGAATTGTCCCTGTGCACACAGCTGTCAGACCAGGACAGAGCTAGAGGAGAGGATTTTCTTGCGGAAAGCAAGCTTCAGATTTCAATAGTTCTAAATCAGGAGGAAAAGCCACGTCGTTTTTCCAGCTTGAGGTTTGATTTTGAAGAGTTTAAACCATTCTGCCTGCTTTTTGGACCCAGACCGTGAATATTTGAGGATGCACCTGCATGAGTGCATTAGATCAGGTAAGAAGTGATATTGAAGCAAATCTCCCAGTCATCCCTGCTTGCCGCACTTCGATTCACACCAAAGAATGCTGAAACACAAAATGCGTTCCTTATGCAACCCCACTGAGGATCTTGGTAGCACTGTGCAGAAGGACAGCCAGGCACGGCAGCTTACAAGCACCGATAGGGCAATGCTTTCTCCTTGCTCTGCCGGCCACCAGGTGTCTGGGAGGCCTCTGAATGGCTGACACCCGAGCTGGCGCAGCACTCGCCTGTCGCCAGCACACAACCAAATGGATTAAATCGGTTAAGGTGGCAGCCAGAGGGTTCTGGTGAATGGCTCTGTGCCCACGTGGAGGCAGATGACAAATGATTTTAGAAGGAAAGTATGAAGTAGGAACGAAAGCTTCGTGAGAGTGAGGCAGGAGGAGGCCGTGCATCTTCTGAAGCTCCTGTCTGAAGAGATGTGAAGGAAGCACCGCTCCTGGCCCGCGTGCAGCCACCGAGGCGTCTCGTGGATTGAAGCCCTCAGGGAAACGTGACGGTGGGGCCGACGCACCCCACAGCGCGCGCAGTTTCCGTAGTGTAGTGGTTATCACGTTCGCCTAACACGCGAAAGGTCCCTGGTTCGAAACCAGGCGGAAACATCCTTTTTTTCCCCTCCACCCCAACGCCGCCTGCTTTCAGCCCACAACCTCCTACCTGCGGGCAAGCGCGGACACACCAACTCACTCACACCAGCCCTGCGAAAAACCACCACCAAGTGCCCAAATTACAACCTGCACACCACACCAGCACTGCGCACTTGCAGCCCACAACGCCAACCATTTTCTGGCCTGCATCAGCGGAGGGGTGGCCAGCAGGGAGTGGAAGGTGAGCTTTTTTTAACGAAAGGTCTGGAAAGTGCAAGAGAGAAACAGAATAAAAACTGCAAATACTGCAGGTATTTCTTTGCAATAATTCAACAAGAAAATATACCTAAGCCTTACCCTTTCTTGAGTCATTGTGCTTCCTCCAATTGCTTTTAAACACTGATGAAAGCATACTAATTTTGGCTATGTTACCTTATTTAGTACATTGCCTTTAAGGTACATAAATGGGTGTATCAGTCGCTGAAGGAATCTAATCTTTGAAATAAATCACCCTGTGTTTGTTCATCTTTGGTAATGGGAGATCTAGATACAGTTGTTCTGTAATATCTATGCTAATAATTTAATAAACCTTGTATATTGACAGTTAAAGCGTTTCAAAGCTATTATAATGAATACTTTGCATTAGTATATAGTCTCCTTCCCTGTAATTCAGCAACAAGTTGCTCCTGTTGGTTTATCAGCATATTTTGATCTGCATGAGGCCATTTAGCTTTTCTGCTCTGACAGCTCTATGACAACACACCCCCTCACTTAGCATTTCCCAATCCAGCTTGAGAGAGTCGAGTGGCAGAAGCTGCATTTCTTTCTCTCAAACAAAATTTCTATCAACAACCAGAATTACATGAAAAAAAGTGTGCTTACCAGATTGTCCTTGCAAAGGTTCTGGGTATAATTACTATTACCCTGAAATTATTTTGCAAAACAAAGTTCCATGTATCAATATGAAAAGGACTGAAACACACATTGTGTGATACATGCAAAAGGAAACAACAACAACAAAAAAACCAGTGTTTTATGACCTAATTGTAGAAATTATGTGTATTTCTTGGATGTTGCAGGCAAAAAGATTCTCACTCGTCTCCTAGCAGCCATAGCCAGCACAATTTCTCAGAATCTTCTTGATTTCTATAGAAATATACATAGCTTAAAGCTAAACTTGAAGTCAGAACGGCTGTGCAAACGCAGTATCTAAATTCAGTGTGAGGAAGGAAATTAGATGTTTTCTTTTGCATTTTTCAAGCTTTCTCTGTAATGTTCTATTTCTTTTCTTGCTTTTGTTACATCCTTGTTTCCTTGGTTATCTGTTGATCGTATGAATCACAGTGGTTTTTAAATGTGTTTGTTGTTCGCTTCTTTCCTATATCCACAGCCTGATTTT